TATCTCCCTCATTTTTGAAATTCAGCAAATTTGTATAGGTATGTAATTTCCAGAACGGATAAGAAAAAGTTGATGCGCAACTAATTTCTAGCTTTGAATCTCAATTAAGTGTATTTGAGACAAGAACCTAATTTAATTATCATCCACACATACAACTTACAGCTTAGACCTCCAGTAATGCCATCTCAGAAGCAGATCAAAGCCAAAGATTGATAACAAGCCTCATGACGTTTAGGCAACACGTACAACTAAGTGCTAAATGAACATCTTGTAGAATAACCTACATAATGTCAAAAAACAGCATAATGTCAAAAAAAATCGGCATAATGTCACTTTTCAAGATACGTGATACCCGTGCCAGAATCGATCCAAATCAGGTTCGAACTCACAATTCAAAAACGTTAAAATAAAACATTATTTGGGCGTAGAGAATATGCTAACGGTTATTTTCAACATGCATCTTAATCCAAGGAACTGGTGTAACATATTGATAACGCGGCAGATTGTCAGCTTTGCTAGGCAACGCGGTGATGAGCTTAGGTTCTATCTCTATCTCGTTCTGACGTTTGTGTCTATAAACACTTCTCTCTCGTACACATCGAACTCAAGCCGTCAAACAAATTTGGTTCTCAGTGTAAATTGTCGCGAGTTCTTATACCTACTTATTTATTGTAGTAATAACCGTTTTTTTGTGTATTTATCGTGGTTTAATTTAGTATAAGAACATACACTCAACATCTATTTTAATATTTTCAATTCATTTTGCTCTCTGTAAGATGTTGTCTGGCAGATAAAACCTTTTCGAAAAGTGGAATACCAATATACCATGCTATTCTAGATATGGATTATCTATGTATAAATTAAAAGTAAAATTAGTCCAAGGATTGACCCTTGTGGAACCTCCAGGCCAATTTTGGCTTGTTTAGAATAATACAAATCACCATATTCAACTTTGAATTTAAGTATTAGTTCATTGGCGATACCTCTGACCCTATTTTCCTATTTCAATGCTTTTAAGGGTTCGACAGGTCAAAACATTACTAATATTATCCCATCGGCTAATTAATGTATCTAGGGGATCTCTAATTCCTTTTGATAATCTTTGTGGCAAGAGGACCGATTGGTTAATAACAAATGTATTGTTTCCAGTAAAAAACGTAGCCTAAGCTAAATTGGTCGGAACTTTTTGGATGAAATAGCATCGCAATCAGTCTGTAATCTGACATACGAGGGATGTCGTTCAAGTTTTACATATAGAAACATAGTAGGCCGCGCGGATCGAACGTCAGTACTGAATCTTAACTTCACTCTTTATTAAACTTAAATTCAAAGTTTCACAACAATACGTGCAGTGTTCTCACTACAATGAATTTTGAAGTGTCACCAAGTCATTGGAAAAATGGAACTCAACCGAGAACATTTTGGCGCCATAATTTATTACAACTTTCAGAGACAATTATCGCAACAAGAATGCCTTGCTGAGTTACTGCCTGTTTTTGGCAACTAAAAGCCACATCAGTCGACAATCTCCCGTTGGTATGGAGAATTCAAACGTGGACGGGTGAGTCTTAGCGACGATCCCAGGGTGGGTGCACCAAAAACGGCAGTCACCCAGGAAAACGTCGATGCTGTGCGCAAACTCATCATTGAAGATAGACATGTGACATGTCGCGAGATTGAGGCGTCCTTGAAGATCTCAAATACCTCAATTCAAAAAAAGTTACATGAAGAATTAGAGTAAGAAAATTAGTTTCTTGTTGGATACCCCACCTGTTGACTGAAGAGCACAAAGCAGCTAGGGTTAATTGGAAAACTCAAAAAATGTGTACAGCATTATTAGTGGTAATGAATCGTGGATTTACTGTTATGAACCAGAAAAAAAACGACAGCGGGCTATTTGGGTGTTCCAAGGTGAAGAAAAGCCAACAAAAGTCATCCGTTCTCGAAGTGTTTCGAAAAGATGTTCGCGAGATTTGTGTCAAAAGCGGGTCATATTGCAAAAATTCCTCTTAATGAGCAAAGAACTGTTACTGCGGATTGGTCTACCACCATTTGTTTGCCAAAAGTCATCACCGAGTTTCGAAAAATCAACCCTGAAAGAAGAATCATCCTCCACCAAGACAATGCAAGCTCGCACACAGCCCAAAAAAACAAGGCAGTATTTAACGGAAGAAAACGTGGAATTATTGGACCATCCTCCATATAGTCCCGATCTAAGTCCTAACGATTTCTTTACTTTCCCGAAAATTAAAAACAGACTGCGTGGTCAAAGGTTCCAGTCATCAGAAGAAGCAGTTGACGCATTCAAAAATGCCGTTTTGGATCTGCCAGCAAACTTCGAAAAACAATAAAGTCATTTAAAACTACCTACCGTGTTGTTTTATTTCCATATGCCATACGCCCACAGGAATTTTCCTCAGAGAGGCAAGAAATAGTGCAAGTGTACCTGCTGTATAAATTTTCCTAAAAATCATCAAAATTGTACAAAAAATCGTGCTAAATATGCAAATCTTAACTCTATTGTCGTCGCAATTGTTGTTTTCCTGCTTATTCTAATAATGATTAAATACCCAACACTTTTTGACTTATTGTGTAAATGAGAGTTCCCGGTCTATCGATAGGTATATTAGAAATTCCAAGATTAAAGGTCCGATACACAAAAAATAATTCATTTATCCTCTGAAGGTCTTAGGCCCGAGGCCGTTCCTGCACGATACACATACACTGAAGATAGGATATTGCTCATGTGGGCGGAGCGTCGTGACGTCACCCGGAGAGTGAGAGGATTGTCGTAACGTTACTGCAGTTGACGTGTATCGTGGTTAATACTATATAGTGCGATTTGTTGGTGTTTTTTGGTGGTTTTGTGACCTGCTCTATTACATACTTTATATAGCCTGTGTGGTTGATAAATTGATACAAATGCTGTGTGTTGTTGTGGGATGTAATTCCCACAAACAATTTGAACAACCAGTCTGATAGGAATCCATGGAAAAAATGGCTACATCTTACAAAAAGAAAAGAAAAAGTCAATGTAAAAAGCGCTAGGGTTTGCTCGAAGCATTTTTGTGAAAGTGCCTATAAGGCCAATTTAAAACATACCTTTTTGGGTTACAACCCTAAAAGTTAGCGTGCACTAAAAGATGATGCCATTCCTACGGAAAATTTATCGAACTCTCAATCATCACCTGGACCTTCTACATCTATTGCTGGGGAAAAGCTGAAAAGTGCTTACGAAAAAAGGCAAAGGGTTCAACTTATTCAAGACATAACCAAAGACAGGGAAGTTTTTAAAATTTTGAATTGATTGTATACTTAACAGGTTTGTATGCATGAATTAATTTGAATGCATGTCTAATTAGTTTAACTTTATGCATGACAGGTGTGCAGAAACAGATGATGAAGGCAAAAATACTGCTGGTCAAAACTCAAATCATAATGTGATGGTAGAAGCTGTGCTGGAGTCAAATAGGTATTGCATCTGAAGTAGTTTGATGGTTTTGTTCCTGTAATTTGAAAAATTAACGCACAAGATAATTGACATAGCATATTCCGAAACAACCTATATTACTTTGTAGGATTCAAACTATCTTTTTTTGTATATTCCAACTACCACGAAGGCTTAAGGCCTAAGCACCCATTTTGTACCGTGGGGCTATAGGGGGATACATGGAAAAGGGGGGGACGCAACACGGACTCTGGCGAGGAGGGAACACGTGTGCATGCAACATGCACACATTCTGGCTCCGCCTACGAGAACGGTCGGGTGGTACCTCCGCGTTCGACAGTCGGAGACCATCTACCACCTACGGACAATCACAACATCCATAGCCAAGAGAAAAATTTCTGGGACGGGACTCGAACCCGCACAGCGCACGGCGACTGATCAGGAGACCGCAGAGTCTACTACTGCGGCCACCGCTGCTGCCTGCATGAAACAAATGAAGAATTGTATAATCTGAAACATAAACTGTTACTTGTAACAAGGGAGAATGAGAAACTAAAAAGCCATATTGATGGAGTCAAAAAAGTATTCAGTGGAAATCAAATAAAAAAAATAGACAATCAGAAAAGAATAACTTGGTCAGTGAGTGAAATTTCAAATGCTATATCCATGTATGCTGCTGGCCCCAGATCATACAGGCTCAGTCTGAAGAGGGGTTTCCCATATCCAGCAGTTTCTACACTGAAGCAATGGCTAAGGAAAATAAAGCTATAAAAAATGCTCTAAAAATTACAGAGTTTGCTGATATGACTGAAAAGGATCGTGCATGTACTATTGTATTTGATAAAATGAAATTTAGAAAGGAGTAGCTACCAGTATGACCAGACAAAAGACTGTGTAATGAAACCTTATGATTATGTATGTCCAAGTTATTTTAATTAGGCGAATCTTTAAATCATGGAAGCAGCCCGTTTTTTATGATTTTGACTGTAAAATGACATCGGTCATTCTAATGGGCATTATTAAGTTTGTGGAGGAATCTGGTCAGAGTAATGTTACAGTAAGTCAAATATACATTGCCTCATCCCATTTTTCTGTTTTAGGACTCCATGTTGTTGCCATGGTGTCAGATCTTAGGGGTGCAAATACAGGGCTTCACAATGAATTGAATGTCTCAAAAACCAAATTCTATTTCACAAATCCTAGCAATAATGAAAAAAATTTTGTCATGGCCGACATACCTCACCTTCTAAACACCATTTTGTTTTTTTATAAAATTTCAATGTAGCTAGTGTCACTCGCACCGCTAAGACAAATCCAACGACACCTCATATGTGAAAATCCGTCCAGCAGTTTGGCCTGTAGGTGAAAATATGCACGTTATCCATATCGACCCAAATGATAAATAATCACTCTCCGCGTGACGTCATGCGCCCGGCGGACGAAAATCGAATAGCGGAGCATCCGCCACGCCGTTCCTGTGTTCAGCACAGGACACAAACGTGGTGGGCGGGACATGCTGTATATTGTCACTTCTGCCAATCTAGGTTCTGTGGTTTAGGCGTTTTGTGGCTTTGGTTTATATTTCCCATATTTCTTGTCTTGTGTCTTGTGATATTTCTATTTATTGTTTCCGAATTGTTTCTGATTTCTTGACAGGTTAGTCGATTGTTAGCAGATTTTTCTGTTTTGGAACAACAAATTTCCATTTGGTGGTGAGTAATAGAAATAGTAAACATTGGTAGAAGGCGTTCATCAGATTTTCATCTATTCGCTTGAAGTATTTCGAGTATTCTAAAAGACCACATCCACTTGTTTGCTTTCCGTTTCGTCTGCCTCCACGGCAAGGCCTATACCGCTAATGAGCCTGAAACAGCGCTGTCTACCGTTGGTCATGGTTAAAGGAAACGGAAAGCAAACATACCCATTTCAGCTGTAACTATTATGCATATATGCACAGAAAAGTCATTGTTGTTATTAAACCTGATATTCCGACCACTTGACATGTTTATCATGATGCTGTGGTGCGACATGTCTACGCTAGCGTAGAATGTCGAGCAGTATGAGTGTAAGGGTCTCTCTAACATCTCCATCATACAGGATGATGATGAAACGATGATACTGATCTTGGCAAAACTATTGGCAGGTGGTGATCATAATATCATAAAACAGACCTAGGATTTCCACCTACTTGCGCACACAATATTTCAAAAGACCACATCCACAGCTTTTTTTTCATCTGTCTCTAGGACCTGTACTGTACAGATGAGTTGCTAATAAGCATGAAACAGTACTGCCTGCAGTTGGTCATAGTTACTGGAGACAGAAAGCAACCATGTCCTTTTCAGAATAGTAAAATTTTTATGCTGTTTTGTAATTTTAAAATTAAACATGAAATTATCATCTTCATCCATCATCAAAAATTTTATCTTCAACACATGAAACTTGTAGATGGAACAAATAGTGTGACATTTTCATTAGCACTTTATGGAGATAAATAAGGGGTTGTCTGAAAATATCATGACAACAGCCCTCATTCCATTTCTTTGTTGGTGATTGCCCTTATTTTTTACACTACAGTTGCTAATATGCTATCTCTGATCCTAATTGAAATCTTAAATAATAGGTACAGCCCATAAAAACTACTACTAAAGTCTACAGTGGACCAATTATATCTTAGTGCCATATCGTTAGTCCTTCCTTCAATCATTGTGGGACGCCTTTATGGCCTCCTTGATTTTCAGTCTGTTCTCTGCGTCAGAAAGGCTGCTATATTTTTCTAGATTTCTACAGTTCCCTGTTAGTGCTCTCCTATGGAAATTTCAGGTTATAAAACAGATGATATATATCAAAAGCATGAACAATTTGGTGTAAATAGATATTTGTAACATAACCTCAAAATAGAGTGGTGTCACGGTGGAGTAGAAAACCAAGGACGCCATAAAGGCGTCTTACAATTGTAGGAACGACTGACGATACGGCCGTTAGACAAGACTGTAGCAGTTACATGAACATCTTTTTTATATATTATACAGGGTGACTTCGAAGTTGAGTCATTTATTTTAACAGTGTGTAGATCTGATCAAAAGAAATGTTTTTTTCCTTTACCATTTTTCTGGTAAAATTAAAGTAACAAAGTTATAGCCCTTTGGAAGTTTGAGTACCGCCCTGTCTCAATAATATCATGTGTTCGTGTTTGGCAACAACGGTTCATCGCATCGGAAACAAAAAAGCGAAAGAATTTGGAACAATGTTTTTACGATTACAATTCAGTTCAGTTATACATACAGTCAGTTTCAGTCGCGTGTGAGTAGTGTCTGTTGCGTGGCTCAAACGAAATAAAAAATGGCACATGTTTATGCGGATCGGTTTCCCAATCGAGTGCAACCAACCCCTCGTGCCTTTGTTAATGTAGTACAACGGGCTCGTGAATCAGGTGACTTAAGACCTCACAGGGGACCTCACGATCAAATACAGGTCCGCACTGAAATACTTGTCGGGAGGATACTTTATAAAACAAGGTAAAATTTTTTTTAATTTTTTATTTATTTTTACACACATATTTTGGTTTTTCTTCCTTCTACAATCATTATCTGAAAATTAATGACTCAACTTCAAAGTCACCCTGTATATGTTGTATATATAAAAATGAATTTCTATTTCGCGTGGTCACTATAACTTCGGAACTAATTCAACGATTTCATTCATCTTTTTTTAATAGTTTCCTAATGCTGTATAGAAGGTTCTTACGGACAGAAAAATAAGAAAATTGCGCAGAAACTTCGGAAATCATTGAGAACTTAATGATTATTTAAGCTAGGCGCGTTTGACAGTTTGCTTGAGCATGGAGCACGCACACCAGAAGAAATGTCTCGAGTACCAAAAGAGACAGGCACTCCTCTCCGCCATCTTTATTCCAACAGCTATTGACAGTTAGCTATGTGAGAACATTGCTTATGAAAACACGGTGCTTTCGTTTTTTTTTCTACTTACATTTCTTGACCATCTCTACTTTGTGATGGCCCCTTCAAAATAAACTGCAGTGTTGCCTAATTGTTACCTTTGTCAGTTGAATCTACGGATTAAAATGGCGGATGAAAATGCGTTTCTTTTGCTTAATTGACTTCACATCATCATTTTGAACTTGACAGCTCGCACGCCGCAAATTTATATTCGATGAAAAATATAGTTTTATTTAATTAGTACTGCACAGTCCATTCGATTGAAGCTTTTATCCAGCTTTCAGTTTGTTCAGTGAGTTTTTTGAGAAGTATTTGTTCAAAAATAATTAACAAGGGTGGAAGTTAGCAATCACACCTTTTATCAAAATTGTGATTCTTCAACATGCCACCAATTAGACGTAGCATCCTAGGTCGCAGAACTCGCAATGCTGCAACTCAAAGATATATACGAAGAAGTCAAACTGACGAGCAACGAGAAGCGAGACATAAAGTTGAACGGGATCGGAGGACTAAAATTCACCAACTTAGAAGTGTCGCATTTAATCCCAATCGAGTTGTATTCGATTACGACGCGGTAATCGATTACAGTTCACAACAAATCGTTGATGTTGGACCAATGAACATTGTGAGTCCACATTGCAAGGCTTTCAAGTTTAAAATTGAAGCCCCTGGATTATGTTGTGTCAGTGAAAAGATCAAAATGACTCCATTGGTGCCACCACCAGAGCCACTATATTCATTGGTTTCCAGAAATGGGCCAGATTCTATACATTTTTTGACTCATATCCAGCAATACAATAATTGCTTTCAAATGACGTCATTCGACGCAACAAAACTCATTCCACATAATTTTATGCCTACTTTCAAGCTAAGTTGATGGGGGAATGACAGTGCTGCCAATGTAATTTGCTAGCCACATGGTATAAACACTTTGCTATACAATTACCTATATTGTATAGGTATATTTACCGTTTTATTATTAATTATTAATTTCAGTTCATAGCTAAGGCAGGACAATGTCTGTTGGGTCAGCTAGTGAAACAATAAAAACAATATTTCTGCGGCTTATTAACCTGATGTACAATACTTGACATAATCCAGTATCAACCCACCAAATTATATAGTGTCAACATTGTTCAGTCATACATTGTAGTTACTTTTAGTTATAAAATCCAAGCATAAGTGCAATTTTTTGGTGTTCTATGATGTACTTTGTGACAATAAATATTTATATTATTAAAAAGGTATTTTGGAGATTATTAGAGCAAAAGCAATGTGGAGGACATTTGGAACCACCTTCTGAGAATAGTGCTCATCCAAACTAAAGACATAGTGAAAATGAAATCCTATCACTATATAGTCTCGAGCCAGAGTTTTCTTTAAATGTATGAGATTAACTTGAATTTTATGCTTTTTCAATTAGGAGTAGAAATAATATAGCAAATAGTACAGAATATTAAGTTTGGTTTCATTAAAAAATTTGTATCAGATAACTATGGAGAGTGAAGCACATGCCAGTGAGCCATTGAAAATTGAATATGCAGAGGTTAAACAGGAACCAACAGAGGTGGTTGGTGAATCATTTGGAGTTGAGCAGCCTACCTGGGAATGGGAAATGGAGGATTATGAAAATAAAGATGGAATGGATTTGCTCAGGTAACTGTTTGTCTTGGGTCCCCCTCAGAAATGTCTACCTCCTAAAATTAGCATATTTTGTGAGCCAAAAATATAGGAGCTAATACCACCAAAATCAACCGCCAACCGCAACGTGACGGTAACCTGACTTAGCAGATATATTCAACTACAAACATTCTCACCAAAAAGATGCTAGACGGCTTGCGGTTTCTCATTCCCACCAGTTTGTAAAAGTTATCTTTGAATGTCATTGTAACACTTCAGATAATAATGCACGGGTATCATGTAAAAAACCTATAAAACGTCAAAAAAAACCTATAAGGTGTCATCTTGCAAACTAGGTAGTTTTTAGGACGCAAACAGTCGTTCCATGTTTGCTCACTAGGATCGTTGTGAACGTCTATCTATGAAGGAATCACTCAACTAAACTACACGCATTATTGGTTGCATGTGTTTAATGAGGCTGAGTGGTCCTAGTCTGGAGTTTTTATCTCTGAAAAGAAAGTTGGCTGAATAGCAAGATCTCATCTGGATGATTATGTGTATTGGTCTGCATGTGTATAAAATCAGTCATATTTGCTGTGTGAGAAAATCATTACCGAATATGCTGCCAATGAAGTATATCTATTGGCTGTGCTTGACAGGTTATTTTTATGTTGTGCTTTCTGAAGAGAGGTTATGTTCAAAGTTATAAATTACGAAAAACTGAGGAGAAATACGGTAAATCATCACCGCGCCCGCGTTATGTGTAATTACTGGTAGCATGTATTTGGCTTGTAATTCGACAGTGACATACCACTTACAGCTTAGACCTCCAGTAATGCCATCTCAGAAGCAGATTTTACATCACATTAGAACCAAAGATTGATAACAAGCTTCATGACGTTTAGGCAACAGGTACAAAAAAACAGCATAATGTCAAAAAAAATCGGCATAATGTTACTTTTCAAGATACGTGATACCCGTTGTATCCCCCAAAATCAATGATGATCAATTAAAATTGCTTCCTCATCCCATGGCTGTGTTGTTTGGAATGATTCAGCTGGAGAAGCAGAGTCAAAAACCTAGGGGAGTTGCAATTGTAAAAAGCAAGTCAGTAATGTAACCATTGAAGTCAAGAAATAATTGCATACTAGCTGTTACTTTCCTCATATCCTTTTTTATATATATTTACTCATACGATCTTCTTTTTAAATGGACCAAATTAGCTTATTCCTATTCCACGTTCTTATTAGTAAGCCTGTGACTTTCTCCACAACCTCAAAATGAGACTCTTGAAATCAGGTTGCTTTTGGTGAAAACTGAATTTCTTGGTATGATGAAGCAGCATGTCATTTAAGAGCTCTGTGACATTTTAGTGCAGTCACATGGTATTAACCAGTGTAGAGCAAACTTACCCTCTAAATAACTCAATAGGGTCAGTGAAAACCATAATTATGTTGTTTTAGAATAAAAGATGAACAATCTGATGCTGAGCCTATGGAACACTTAAATCTCAGTGGGGAAGTTTTTGATATACAAGAAACAAAATAAAATTGGAAAATGACGTTGACATCAAATCTGAAGTGATTCAGATCCCTAATAACTATATTGTTAAAGATGAGAATGATTCAGGTGCTGAAATAGTTTTGGATAGGTGAGTACTTTTTTGGTTTTGCAGATAATGTCATATTAACATTTTCTGTACCTGAAAACTCATTTTCAGAACGCCTATCAACGTTCTATTTGTTTCAGAATAAAAAATGAACAGTCTGATGTTATGTCTACAGTTACCTGTGATCTCAACGGTGAAGCTTTCAATATGAAGGAAGGAAGTATGAAGCTAGAAAATGATCTGGACGTCAAATCTGAAGAAACTCAAATCAGCCATGAATACATCATTAAAGATGAGAACGAGTCAGGTGCAGAAACAGCTTCGGATAGGTAAATATTTTTTTTAATTGCTAATCATATACCTTCCTTCAGCTTTCTCTAAACCTATATTGAATGATGTTGATAAAGGTAGGACACATTTTTTACTACTTTAAATTGCATGCAACCAATGAGGCAATGGTTAGGATGCATGTTGGAAGAAGATGTGGCAGAAGCTGTTCCAACCCTTGTCCTTCTTACTCGACACACACACAAAGTACTTATGACATTAGATGGATGATCCAATGATATAACATAAAATATCCAATGATATAACATGAAATGTCAATCTTTTGTAAGCGATAGGAGATAAAAGAATAATGTTACCGTTTCGTGTCGAAAAATGTCGTATGGGGCTTTTCTAGGGAGATACAAGCCTCTAAAGTATGTTTATTATTTATTTATACATAATTACCCAACAGGCTATTCCAATTCCAGAGATGTGTGTGTGTTGAATTGCTTTCTTATTTGACCAGTGATTCCAATTATAACTTCACATCCGTGTTCAGCGGTAAAAAATATAGTGGCACACACCACTTTTTACTATGTAGTCTGTATAAAACACCCCATTTGGAACACATCAAGCCTCATTCGTATACCTTAGTACAGTTGAGTTTCACGCGACTCTAAACCTAAAATCATGGGATATTGTCTTAAAAAGCAATTTCTTTGTATTCCCAAACAAATGAGTTGAGGTCATGTTTGGCTTTTGATTTATCATGTGCTGAATATTTCTAATATGAAACACTATTTGAACTTACATGTTCTATCTAAAACAATAATAATTGGGTCTCTTCCAGTTCTTTGAAGAGGAAATCTTCGAGAAAGCAGCATGCTGTAATATGTAAAGAAACCAGCACTAAGCTGTACGTGTGTATTCACTGTAAAGCGGAATTTAAATATATGCAACGTTTAGACGATCATATAATTAAGAACCACCCCGAGTTCTCAGCATCAGTCACAAGTAATGTACATGAATGTGCTGATTGCGGATATAAAACCACCTTTAAACATCATTTTGCTAGACATATGTTCAATCATCCTGGGGCCGAAAGTAGCCTCAAGCCGAGCGTGTGTATTCATTGCAATGCGGCGTTTATATATAAAAAAAGCTTGGATGAGCATATAACTAAGAAACACCCTGGTTTTATAGCATCAGTTTCTCGTCAAATACATGAATGTACTTATTGTACATATAAGACAACAATTAAAGATTGTCTATCAAGGCATATGTTAAAGCATTCTGAGGCAGAAAGTGACTTTAATCTAAGGGTGTGTATTCACTGTAATGCGACATTCAAACATAATATAACTTTAGACGATCACATAATTAAGAAACATCCGGCTTTCATAGCATCCGTTAAACGTAAGATACATGAATGTACTCTATGTACATTTAAAACGACTGTTAAACATCTTCTTGCTAGGCATATGTCGAAACATCCTGAAGCTGAAAGTAGCTCTGAGCTGATCGTGTGCATTCACTGTAAAGCGGAATTCAAATGTAGGGAAATTTTAGATGATCACATATATAAAAAACATCCTGATTTTACAGCATCAGTATCTCGTGAAATACTTGTATGTACTCACTGTACATATAAAACTACCATTAAACGTTATTTGGCATGGCATTTGGTGAGACGTCATGGTAACTATAAGCTGAGTGCGTGTATTCACTGTAATACCACGTTCAAGGACAACATAAATTTGGATGACCATATAGTTAAGAAACATCCTGAGTTCTTAGCATCAGTTAAACGTCAGATACATGAATGTAATCATTGTGCATATAAAACGACTGTTAAATACCAACTTACTAAACATATGCTGAAACATACTGAGACACAAAATAGCGCTGAGCTGAACGTGTGTATTCCACAGCATTGATTTCTCATAAGATACATAAATGTGCATAAAATTACCTTGAAAGATAGTTATGTCAATACTACGTATTTCACACAGTTATGACAGATCTTCAATTTATTAAAGTGTTCTCAGGTGAATATCACGCGATCCGTATTTACTGATAATTCAGTCCCTGTCAGTGCGTGTCTGCGAAACCTTGTTTTTTGTATATTATATGACGTGTACACCACGAAAAACCATGTCACTGATGTCCCGACGGTCGGTCTGTTTGCTAATCCTTGGCGCGTGCATAACTTGGAAACTAAAGGTACGGACATACCGAAGATGCATGGATGAGCGCGGTGGAGGTCGCGGTCGCGATAGTTACATCGATCTCAAAACAAATCTTTATTTTATTAAGACCGCACATACCAATGATGCTTCACCCATTCACCCTCGCCGCCTATCAACGCGGTTTACAGCGATGTCGATAGCAGAACAAAATAAACTGTTAGCGCGTGATGTCTCGGTAACAGGTGGGGACAACGCCTCTTATTGGTCAATTCGCCATTAAATTTCAAGCGGTCACCTGGCCGAATAATGCGCGGCGCAGGGGCAGGGCAGGCAGAGTTGCATTCAGGCCACCGACCGTCGCGTGTATCACTGCGTGCTCGTGTTTTCGTATTCACCTTGCTTGGTTGTTGCTCTTGTTGTTGTTCAGTGTATTTGAGTAATTTGCTAAGTTTCTGTTAAATACTGTCATCTTTGTTTTACAACACGTTGGTGGTAGTCCATCATTCGGAGGTAGCTCTGAATGCGGCCCTGTACGCCGTCCTTGCTTTTGGCAATCACGCATCCATTCTATCTTGGGTGTAAATACACTATAGTTTGATTTTATATGGCGATCGAGCTGTTGTCGCGAAGTAAACTTGCACGTTTATTGGTGCTCTTCCAATCACGTGACATTCTCCAGTGTGTAGGGAATGCGGAACGTATTTATTTTTTAGTTTGTTGTGATTTGTCGTTGTTATAAGGTTGTGCGCCATAAACAGCATCACAACAGGCATGTTCTGACAAGGGAGTGGAAGAAAATAGCAGCAAAAATTAAAGTGACTGGTATGTATATTAAAATAATAACATACAGAGTTTTCTATTTAAGTATAACCTTTTTTATAAGATTAAAATTAATTTTCAACCCTGTACAGTGTTATTATGCATACTAACAAATTATTATTGTAAATTTAAAGGATTTACGGCAAAATATTCTGTAAATTTTTGCCGAACTAGCTTTGCTCTGTTAGTTGAAGCATTATGCGATCTAGACCGTTGTAAATTACATCTTTCTGGAATTGGAGGAAGGTCTAAAATATTCAAAAGATATGACTCTTTATCAATGATGATGTTATGTAGTATACAGATTGCTTTAATAATACTATCAGCAGTATCTTTGTATGTTTCAATTACACTCAAAATTCTCCATTTCGCAAATAATATTCCAAATGCACACTCTACACATTTTCGAGCGCGAGACAATCGCTTATTAAAGCTTTCTTGTGATGGGTTTAAAATTTGTCCGGAATAGGGTTTCATCAAGTTCTCTTTTAGGGGATAAGCTTCATCGGCAATAAAAACATGAGGTAGTTTATGGTTAGAATGAGGTAATTTTTTTTCCTCCGGGATTCCTAATTTATTTTTTTCTAACAATTTGGAAAGTTTTGAAGCCTGGAATGCTCCTCCGTCACTCAGCTTTCCGTAGCCACCGACGTCAATAGAAATAAATCTATAGTGGTCGTCAACTAGCCCTTGTAAAACTATGGAGAAGTAATGTTTGTAGTTGAAAAACATCGAACGTGTTTGCCATCTAATGATCCAATGAACAATGAACAATCCACATCCACCTCAATAACAAATGTGATGAGTCCTAATTCCGAATCACAAGATGTGGCTGCAACAACCTCAACTACTTCGGGTTCAAAATACTCAGTTTCTCAAACGGGTTATAAACGGCGACTAACGCCACAAATAGAAATTGGGAGACGGCTAGTTGACATTGAAAAGAAATAAAAAATTAAAATTTCCCAGGACCCCAATGATGATATAGGGTTTTTCAACAACCTTCTTCCTTATGTGAAAACATTGACCCCTAGAGATAAATTAAAGTTTCGAATGGATATGCAGAACTATTTATTCGAAATTCTATATCCTTCAAATCAGCAGACGCTGGTGTTTCTCGGCATGAACCACTTTGGGAGTAAGCAGCTTTTTCTGCCATATGAATTTCCCTCATCCATATGACAAAATCAGAACTCAGCGGATTTAGACGCTTTAAACAACTATACACGTTTAAACTAAACTAAGTTACAATAATTAAAAATGTAAATTAAAATTAAAAATCTAGTTTCACTTACCTTATTGTCACTACCAGTTTTTCTTCAGCTAAAATCGGGTTCGTATGATAGTTATTATAATTGGAACGTTCAATTTTCATTTTTATGTTGTCATATATATACTGGAAGGTATCTAAACCCATTCTCATATAGGCATGGAATCTCTCAGGATGATTTCGAAGCTCTTTAAACAAGTGATGGTATTCCCCCAGATATTGCCTTTTGGTTTATAGGATGAGCACTAAACCTGCGATTTGATGAATTACATATAATCCAGCACTTTGCACCAGCAGACATACAATCACTAACGTCACTACTGTTGCTTCTATTCATTCTTAAGTATTCAATAATAAGACTTTAAAATTTTCCGAATTACGTCGGTCTCCTCTGACACCTCAAAGAACACTGAATGCCGAAAGCTTTGACTGAAAGGAAAGCATCTTCGACATGTTTTGCCAGGCATCGATGTGAACCGCGACCGCAACCTCCACCGCGCTCATCCATGCATCTTCGGTATGTCCGTACCCTAACGCTGTCGCGACTGAGAGTGGTCGTTACATACGGCGAGGTGAGTCATAGCCAGTTGCCACATCGCCACGCGAGCGGCACTGTCGGTGCGGCTGGGAAAACTTTATATGGATTAATTATCCAGGGTCTATCGCAAAGTAAACAGTACAAAGAAAAAAAAAAACATTTTTTGTTTTGGAAAATCGAATTTAATTTATTCGAAATATTTTCCTTCAGAGTTAATACAGCGATTTGCACGGACTAAAAGATTTTGGAATGATGATTTTAGCGCATTGATCGGGATTATTTATGCAACAATTTTTCAGACTTGTCGGATTGTTAGCAAATATAACAGTGTTCGTACACCTGGGATCCTCTAGCCTCTTTGAACCGTGTACTAACATAAGTTATCTTGTGAATTTTTATATCAATATTTTATATGTTTTACCATTTTAATGTACATTTATGGGTGTATATACATATTTATGTATTATGTATGTATATGTGTGTAGGTACCGGGTGTACCATCTTTTATGTCGGTATTGAAACGTCGAATGACTGATATTTACCAACCAGGTGATTTGGTTATACGTGTTTCTGAAACGTCAATCACATGAGGTCCACGAAATGCCGTTGCATGACCGCAAAGTGACTGTTTGGGCCGGCGTTTGCGCCAAAACCCTCATTGGGCCATTTTTCTTCAACGAAAACGAAACAGTCGATGGAAATCGATATCGGTGGACGTTGGCTCATTATGTCTGCCCGCAAATGCATGAAAAAGGTCTTGATGGTTAATGGTTTCAAAAAGATGGTGCGCCATGCCACACTGCAAATGAAACAATCCAGTTTCTGCAACGAAAATTCCCTGGACGTCTGATGTCAAAAAGAGGTGACATTGACTGGCAACCCAGGTCTCCAGATTTGACCCCACCGTACTTCTTCTTGTGGGGTTATTTGAAAAGTTAAGTGTACACCAGCAAGCCCCAGACCACTGAAGAACTCAAGGCAAACATTCGTACTGCCATCGCCGCTACACCACCAGAGATGCTCGAAAAAGTAATGGAAAACGCAGCAAAACGGGCACATTTTGTTTTGGCCAATAAAGGTGGTCACTTGATAGATGTTGTGTTCAAAAACTAGTCCCAATAAATTGTAAAGGACCATATTTAATACAAATACCCGATATATAGAAATCAGTTTTTCGTTTTCAAAGTTATTTCATGTTTACATACCGACATAAAAGATGGCGCACCCTGTATGAATGTACGCATACAAGTATATGTCCTCCTGTTATTTTTTACAACTTATAAGACTTGCTTTGCTGTATCTGCTTTTATTGAATGATAATGCATCATATCATGAGTGGATGCATTTCTGTTTAATTTGTCAGACTGCGTTTTGTATTATTTTTTCTTTTGACTTGTGTAAACACGCTGGTGTACCTAACACAAAGAATTGATGTCCTTCAAAATGGTCGTCGACGTCTTTTGGATGGCCTCTAAGTCGGCATACCGCTGTCCCTTCATGACCAAATGTAGCTTACCGAACAGAAAATACTCACACGGTGCCATATCAGGAGAATATGGGGAGTGGTTGATGGTTAAAATGCGATTTTTTGTCGAAAAGTCGGACACAAGCGTCGATCGATGTGATCGTGCATTATCGTGCAACAAGCGCCAGCTTCCTTCTTCGCGATATTCTGGCCGAACACTGTGAATATGCGACAGCAAACGCCCCATGATAAAACACAGTATTAACCGTTTGGCCTGGTAAAATGAGTTCTTTGTGAATAATTCCTTTCGAATCGCAGAAAAAAGTCACATTGTCTTCACTTTGGTCTTTTCCAACGGCTTTTTTAGGATTCGGCTCGCTTGAATGCTTCCTTTCGGCACTTTGACGCTTGGTTTCGGGATCGTATTGAAAACACCACGTTTCTTCACCAGTCACAATGTTGTACAGAGTTTTTGTCTTTTTTTGGCCTCTTTAATGATTTCTCTCGAATTTTGAATTCAAAGCAATTTTTGATCATCCGTGAGCTTGTGTGGAACATATTTGAACTTACACGTGCTGTCACAAACAATAATAATTGGGTCTCTTCCAGGGCTCTGAAGCGGAAATCTTCGAGAAAGCAGCATGCTGTAATGTGTAAAGAAACCAGCACTAAGCTGTACGTGTGTATTCACTGTAAAGCGGAATTCAAATATAGGCCAAGTTTAGACGATCATATAATTAAGAAACATCCTGAGTTCTCAGCATCAGTTACAAGTAATGTGCATGAATGTCCTGATTGCGGATATAAAACCACCTTTAAACATCATTTTGCTAGACATATGTTCAATCATCCTGGGGCCGAAAGTAGCCTCAAGCCGAGCGTGTGTATTCACTGCAATGCGGAGTTCAAATATAGAAAAAGCTTGGATGAGCATATTACCAAGAAACACCCAGGTTTTATAGCATCAGTTTCTCGTCAAATACTTGAATGTGCTTATTGTACGTATAAGACAACAATTAAAGATTTTCTATCAAGGCATATGTTGAAACATTCTGAGGCAGAAAGTGACTTTAATCTAAGCGTGTGTATTCACTGTAATGCGACATTCAAAGATAAGATAACTTTAGATGATCACATAATTAAGAAACATCCCGATTTCATAGCATCTGTTACACGTAAGATACACGAATGTACTCTATGTACATTTAAAACCACTGTTAAACATCTTCTTGCTAGGCATATGTCGAAACATCCTGAAACTGAAAGTAGCTCTGAGCTGATCGTGTGCATTCACTGTAATGCCGAATTCAAATATGGGGAAAGTTTGGATGATCATATCGTCAAGAAACATCCTAATTTTACAGCATTAATATCTCGCGAAATACTTGAATGTACTCACTGTACGTACAAAACTACCATTAAACGTTATTTGTCATGGCATTTATTGAAACGTCATGGTGTAGAAGGTAACTCTAAGCTGAGCGCTTGTATTCACTGCAATACCACGTTCAGGGATAACACAAATTTAGATGATCATATAGTTAAGAAACATCCTGAGTTCTCAGCATCAGTTACACGACAGATATATGAATGTAATCATTGCACATATAAAACCACTATTAAATGCCATCTTACTAAACATACGCTGAAACATACTGGGACACAAAATAGCGCTGAGCTGAACGTATGTACTCAGTGTAATGCGGTATTCAACAATCGGATAGATTTGGATGATCATTTAAGATTCCACAGCATTGATTTCTCATATAATACATAAATGTATATATTGTCATGACGCTTTTTTTGTTTATTTTAAGGCCATTTTATACAAATACAGCACAAACTTCAATCAATAATGTATTGCCCATTTTGATCGATGACCTTTCGCCATCTTTCAGGCAGCTTCATAATTCCTCGCTCGTAGAAGGATTTGTCTTTACTGGCAAAAAATTGAACAAGGTGCTGATGTACAGCTTCATCTGAAGTAAAGCGTATTTCTCGCAAGGAATTTTGAAGCGACCGAAACAAATGAAAATCAGATGGGGCAAGATCAGGCGAGTATGCTGGATGTGGTAACACATCCCATCCTAACTCCAATAACTTTTGACGAGTGAGCAAACTTGTGTGCGGTCTCGCGTTGTCATGGTGGAACACAACTCCTTTGCGATTAATGAGCTCCGGACGTTTTTGCATGATGGATTGTTGCAAACTGTCCAATTGCCGACAATACACAGTTGTATCGATGGTTTGGTTCTTTGGCAGGAGTTCGAAAAACACGATCCCTTTAAAATCCCACCAAACAGAGAGCATCACCTTTTCCTGATGACTCTCTGCTTTCGCGATCGTGTTACGCGTATCTACACTTCGGGACCAAGACCGTTTGCGAACCACATTGTTGTAAATAATCCACTTTTCATCTCCCGTTATCAAGCGCTTTAAGAAAGGATCGTTTTCCTCACGTTTAAGGAGCATATCGCAGATGTCTACACGCGCCGTCAAATGAACCTCTCTCAGTTCGTGTGGTACCCAACGATCGAGTTTGCTTACGTATCCCAGTTTCTTCAAATGGTCGTGAACGGTTGAATGATGGATTTTTAAGGTTTCTGCAATTTCCCGTGTGGTGTAATGTGGGTTTGCTCCTACCAATGCCTTTAATTCGTCACTATCCAACTCAGTAGGCCGCCCTGATCGAGGTGCGTCATGGATATCAAAATCCCCATCTCGGAATTTTTTAAACCATCTCTGGCATTGCCGTTCTTGTAGTGCATGTTCTCCATAAACCTTTCTCAACTTTTCACACGCTTGTCTTGCGTTATTGCCTTTGCGGAAGTAATACAGCAAAATGTGACGAAAATGCACAGTTTGGTCGTCCATCTTCAACGTCCTCTAAAATCGACGAGACTCAAATAAATCACTTAATTTTTTGGTGCAAATGAAGCTTGAAGTGTCAACTGTCAAACTACACAATCAACATACAAATGTCATTGACTCACGTACTTCCAACCATGCAATTGCATACTTTGTTGCATATACGTCATGACTTTTCCGACAACCCAATATTTCACACAGTTTTATGACACATATTCAATTTATTAAAGTGATATTGCTCACTGGTCTCAGGCGAATATCACGCGATACGTATTTACATTTCACTTTTCCCGCTTTTGTTCATAACGTGACTTTTTTACTTTCTGTGCTACTGACGAGGGTACTGGTAGCCAGATGATCGGCACTGTCGCTGCCGCTGGGAAAAAGGTCTATCGATTATTTGTATGGATCTGTTTTTCGTTATACAAGTAGCTAACCTTTCCTCAGGGGGACTAACTTGTGCCGAACAATCATTTATGAACCGATGACAGCGTTGCATGGGAAGTGGAGAGTTCACCTACTGGACGCCATTTTGACCATATATTTACCAAACGAGTTTAAAGTCGAAGAAGTCATGGAAGCGATAATGGCAAACAAAGGGGACATTATAACTCGCTTTATTTTATCCATATACAGGGTGTCCCAGAAGTCGACGTCAAGCCGAAACCGGGTGATAGGCAAAGTCATAACAGCTATAAGAAAAATATTTAAAAAATTTTTATGTATGTGTTTTGAAAATTATAGGTCTTTGAAAAAGATATAGAAATTTCACACCCTACGGCAGTCTGTCAACTCCTGTTACTACAAATATTAACTTTTTTGGATTTTATTTTTACAATGTAATGATGAATAATGCATCTTCAAACTGGTGTCTCAACCTTACTGCCAACTTTTCTCGTTCAGGAAAAATTGCCACTTATTTCCCGACCAAGTATTCCAAAGTAAAACTTTGCTCAACTTTAACTGGCTGTACTGGAAAAAAATGTACTACGAGAGTTTGGCAAGTAACCTTAAAAGTTGGCGCCTTTAATAACGATTACAAAATGGTATAACACTTAGAAGATTACTCGTTAACTTATGCACAATTTTTATTTAAAAAAAAACTGATGAAAATTTTTCAAAATTTCCTAATTAAACAGCGATTATGAAAACGCACAAGGACCCTTAAGGATAACTGTTTGCACAACAGTGGGCGTCAAAATGCTGCTGATGATGATTTACCTTTACAGCAAATGCTCAAACTGTTTGCCTTCAGCCGCAATACACGCTCGACATCTTAAAAAAGATCGGGTTATTAAACTCAGCTGCTTCCAATAGTATTTGCCGTAGCTCAGCTACATTTTGAATCGGCTTGCTTCATCCATACCACGTACAGCGTGTTCAAGCTTTTCTGCCCCGGGATTATGAGCCCCGAGTTGCTTTTTGTCGCACAATGTTAGAAAGACACAGGGAAGATCCACGGTTCTTTGAAAAAATTTCATGGTCAGATGAGACCACATTTAAGAAAGATGGGTACATGAACCTGCATAACTTACACGAGTGGCACGTAGCAAACCCACATTTGATGAGAGATGATAAATCTCAATATCGCTTCAAGATAAACCATTGGACAGGAATTTTAAATGGTAAAATAATCGGTCCATTTGAGTTCCCAGAGACTTTGACTGCTGAGGTTTATTTAGGTTTTTTGCAAAATTATTTAGAAAATTTATTGGATGACGTGCTACTGAGTATTTACAGGGACATGTGGTTTCAGCATGATGGCTGCCCAGCGCACTATGCACTCTCAGTGAGAGAGTATCTCGATCAAAACTTTCCAGGCAGATGGATAGGGCGGTCTGGTACAATACCGTGGCCAGCCCGGTCACCAGATTTGAATCCGTTAGATTTTTTTGTCGAGCGTGTATTGCGGCTGAAGGAAAACAGTTTGAGCATTTGCTGTAAAGGTAAATCATCATCAGCAGCATTTTGACGCCCACTGTTGTGCAAACAGTTATCCTTAAGGTTCCGTGTGCGTTTTCATAATCGCTGTTTAATTAGGAAATTTTGAAAAATGTTCATCAGTTTTTCTCCAAATAAAAATTGTGCATAAGTTAACGAGTAATCTTCTAAGTGTTATACCATTTTGGAATCCTTATTAAATGCGCCAACTTTTAACGTTACTTGCCAAACTCTCGTAGTACATTTTTTTCCAGTACAGCCAGTTAAAGTTGGGCAAAGTTTTACTTTGGAATACTTGGTTTTGAAATAAGTGGCAATTTTTCCTGAACGAGAAAATTTGGCAGTAATGTTGAGACACCAGTTTGAAGATGCATTATTCATCATTACATTGTAAAAATAAAATCCAAAAAAAGTTAATATTTGTAGTAACAGGAGTTGACAGACTACCCTAGGGTGTGAAATTTCTATATTTTTTTCAAAGACCTATAATTTTCAAAACACATACATAAAATTTTTTTAAATATTTTTCTGATAGCTGTTATGACTTTGCCTATCACCCGGTTTCGGCTTGACGTCGACTTCTGGGACACCCTGTATAAGTTAAAAAACTTTTTTACACTTACTTGGCTTTACTGTCTTCCTCCTTTACTAAATATCTTATATTAGTCCAATAAGCAATCGTAAATTTTCCAAAATCATATCCCATTTTTTTTTTCAGGAATGGAATAGGGTTTTGCGCTACAAATGTGTTAAGTAGAATCGCCTCATTATCGTGGTCTACGAATAATTCTCGTTTTTTATTTAGTTCCGTAAAATTCTTTTTGCAACGGAATGCAAGAACTGGAAAAGTGTGCCAAATTTTCTAAGACGACCAAGTCAACCAACTTTGTGTTGTAATTGCAGGCATAATTTTCCTAAAAAGTTACTATAGATGCACTTTCGTGAGATGTTAACTCAGTTGACTAAATTTTTAACAGATCGGAGTAGGGAGCAGAGATGGCGTAGTGGTAGACGTTATGGGTCTACTAATATAATCAGTCGCCGTGCACTGCGCGGATCCGAACCCCGTCCCAAGATAATTTTTCGCTTGATTTTGTATGTTGTGATTGTCTGTAGGAGATAGACGGTCTCCATCTGACGAACGTGGAGGTACCACCCGGCCGATCTCATGCATGCATATTGCATGCACACGTGTTCCCTCGCTAGAGCCCGCGAGGCGCCCCCTCCACCGCTTTCCTCTGTATCCTTCTATATCTTCACGGTACCCATGGGTGTTTAGCCTTCGTCGTAGTTCAATTATAAAAATCCTCGACATTCCTATGTAAAACGGTTGATTTAGAGAGAGGGGTGATGCCAGGCATAAGCTGTGCAAAATTGTGTTTGCGCACGCGCCTGTGTCAAAATATAGACTCAATCAATAAGACATTGTATTTGAAACATCAATTTGCTTCAAAATACATATTGTTACACTGCGTTTATAAAACACCACCAATTCTTGACATAATATATTGAAACATGCTAGTGCATAAAGAAGCTCTAAGCGGGGGTGTATGTGTGGTGCTAAATTCGAGTATATTCCAAGGTTATACAGGGTTTGTCCGGAAAGTAATAGGACTTATTTTCTTCCGCCACCGACTGGATTCGGTAGAGGGCGTTCCTAGCTAACGAATGAGCGGCTGGTCAGTTGTCTCCGAGCACTTGGAGAGTCAGGACAGGCATTTTCGCGCGACGTGTTTCTGTGAGTGGTGCAAGCCGAAACTGTAGCGTTTGTTAGAGCAGAGGTACGCGATTAAATTCTGTGTGAAACTCGGTAAATCTGCGACAGAGACGTTTGATATGACGAAGCAGGCTTACCCAGGTGTTGCTTTAGCAAGAAGTGGTGTGTTTCAGTGGCAACAGGCCTTTTTGGAGCGCTGCGAAGAGGTCTCTGATGAAGACCGTACTGGAAGACCTTCGACTTCGACAAAC